CCCACCTCCCCACCCCGCCCCAAGGATCTTTTGAGGATGCTGGAAAAGAGCAACCCTTTGCACAGAATAGTGGCTCCGCCTGGGTGCTTGGAGCATTTGGAGAAACTCCATAAAAGTCTCTAACCCAGATGGAATCAGGGAGTACTGGGAACTGGCAGTTGAGTACTGAAAGAGTTAGCTAGACAAAAAGGGGCGGGAAAGGCCTCTAAGGCAGAAGAAGTTGCACCCAGAAAGATCCTAAGGTAGGGTGAAAAAAACGAGCCTAGGGCTGGCTGAGTGGCTCAGTTGGTTAAGAATTGGCTTAAGAGCGCGAGCGCTGAGCAACAGGGTGAGCTCTGAGCAACAGGGCCGCCGGTTCAATGCCCACGTGGACCAATGACACTGTGCCTGAGCTGTTGCTGAGCTGCTGACAGTTGACAGGATGGCTCAGCTGGTGTAACAAGATTGCCTGTTTGATGGTGAGCTATGCCCACCCGCAACTAAGACTGGACTCGGCACCTTGAGCTGAGCTGCCACCCCGATGGCTCAGTGGATAGAGTGTGCGCTCTTAACAAAGCTGCTGGTTAGGCTCCAAATGGGATGGTGGCTACGCCCACCCGCAACTAAGAATGAACACAGCACCTTGAGCTTAGAGGCCACAAGGTGCCAATGGGTAGCCAGATGGCGACTGGCGCCCTCCACAACGAAGATTGAAGAACAACAACTTGGCTGGTCCCCTTCCCCAATTCTCCAACACTGTTCCCCTCCCCCCAATAATTCCCCAATAAAATCTTTAAAAAAAAAAAAGAGCCTACATGTGTAGGCAGAGACGGATTTTTAGTGAAGCTAATGAAAGTTTGTTTCTGAACCTGTCATTTGCACTGCCCCCTTCAAGGCCCTGTGCTTAATACTATATTATTTTTCTTTGTGTAAGCTTTGGGCTCCAGAAAACTTGACTCCACCATAGATAGGGAGCCAGTAGAAATCAGATAAGTGTTTTAAAAAATGATCATCTGACAGCCCATGATCAAAGTAGGTAGGGAGATCAGGTGAGAGAAGATGATTGTCTGGATTCGTGTGGTGGCAGTGAAGATGGAGAGAAGAGGATGCATCCCACCTATAATTAAGAGAGAGAAATTACAGGACTTGCTGACTGATTGGCCCAAAATAGTACATACTACACAACCAGTTAATAGCTGTTCTCTTACCCTGCCTTTATTCTTATAACTTATTACCACCTGATGTGTATTTATTTTCTTATAATTTTCAAAAAATGAAAAACATAACTCTTATACAAACAAAATGAACACATGCCAAAGATTTTATTCATCATAATACCTACTCATTCATCATTATCCTAAATAACGAGGGAACCAGTAAGATGGTAGGACTTGTTCAAACGAGAATTTGAGTTGCAGAGATTTTGATTATCAGCCAAAGGAATGCTGAAATGAATTTTCTAATAGTTGCAAAACAGCCTAGTCAATATAGAGTCAATCAAAGGTATACCCCAACACTACAATGAAAAAGCACCCAGTAATCCTGTTCTGCCCATGTACACTTTCTGGACAGTTTTTCTGGACATGTCTTCCTTCACCGTAAAGTTTAAAAGAGCAAAGATTTTGAGCCAGCCAACTGGCACATTGGTTAGGAGTTGGCTTGGGACACCACCTCTGAGCAGTAGGGCCCTGGTTCAGATCCCATATGAGGGCCAGTGACGCTGCGCCCTCTACAGCTAAGATGGTGAACAACAGCTCGACCTGGAGCTGGGCTGCCTTGAGTCCCCGGCGATGGCATAGGCTACAGTGTGGCTGCAGTGGGCTGCCGTAAGCTACTGTGAGTGGCCGGCAACCAGCGTGAGCTGCCGTGAGCCGCCGTGAGCGGCCATCCAATGACCGGTGACTGATCTGCCTCAGCCGGAAAGAGCGCAATGATCACAATACCAGCATGGGCCAGTGAAGCGACGTCCTCCACAACTAGACTGAAGAACAAAAGGACAGCAACTTGTCTGTTCCCCTTTCCCGATTCCCCAACACTGTTCCCCTCCCCCAATTCCCCAATAAAGTCTTTAAAAAAAGAAAAAATTTCAATAGTGTTAAGGTTGAGAAACTCTGATATAGGGCGACTTGAATTTTATAATTCTTCTTGTCTTAGTTTTGACAATTTGAGTCTTTTAAATAACTTATTAATTTCCTCTAAATTGTCAAATTTCTTCCCATAAAGTTGTTCAGAATGTTCTATTGTTTAGTGTCTGTAGCAGAGGATATACAAACTATAGCCACAAGCTAAATTCAGCCTGCAGCCTATTTTTAAAATACTCTTTTGTTTTAACACATCCACATCTTTCATTTACTGTGGCTCATTTACTGCTACAAAAACAGTTGAATGGTTGCTCTAGAGATCATATGGCCCACAAACCCCAAAACATTTACTATCTGAATCTTCACAGAAAAAGGTTGTTGACCCCTAATTTATAGACTATACAGTAATGTCTTCTCTCTGATATTGGTAATTTGTGTCTTCTCTCTTAGGTATTTTGTCAGCCTAACTAGAGGTTTATCTATTTCATTGAACTTTTCAAAGAACCACCTTTTGGTTTTGTTTGTTTTTTCCTGTTTCTTTTCTATTTCATAGATTTCTGCTTTTATCCTTCTAATTTCTTTCTACATAATTTGTTCTTTTTATTCTTAGCTATATTTTAAATAAATTTTTTAAATACGATAAAATAGCTATTATATTTACCCATGTATTTCCCATTTCTGGAACTGTTCGTTCCTTTTTTAAAAAGATTTTATTGGGGAATTGGGAGAGGGAAACAGACAAGTTGCTGTCCTTTTTTGTTCTTCAGTCTAGTTGTGAAGGACGTCGCTTCACTGGCCCACATTGGTATTATCATTGCGCTCTTCCTGGGTGAGGCAGATTGGTCTCCAGCCACTAGACGGCCGCTCACGGCAGCTCTCGCTGGCCAGCTCACGCTGGTTGCCAGCCACTCACGGTAGCTTACGGCAGCCCACTGCAGCCTACGCCGCCGCCGGCGACTCACAGTAGCCCAGCTCCAGGTCGGGCTGTTGTTCACCATCTTAGCTGTAGAGGGCACAGAGTCACTGGCCCTAATGTGGGATCCAAACCGGGGCCCTGCTGCTCAGAGCTGGCATTCCAAGCCAATTCCTAACCAACACGCCACTTGGCTGGCCCTGTTCGCTCCTTTGTGCAGATTTTGATTTTTTTTTCCTTAAGAACTTCCTTTAATATTTCTTGCAGTCAAGGTCTGCTGACAATGAAGTCTCTTACCTTTCATTTATTTAAAACATCTTTATTTTGCTTATATTTAAGGATATTTTCAGTAGATACAGAATTCTAGGGTCAAAATTTTCTTCTTTCAAAACTTTAAAGATGAGTTGTTTCTTACGAAAAGTGTAGTAATTCTTTGTGCCTCTGTATGTAATATATCTTTTCCCTTTATGATTCTTTTTTTTAATTAAACTTACTGAGGTGACAATGATTAGTAAAGTTACATAGGTTTCAAGTGTACATTTCTATAAAACATCATTTATATATCACATTGTGTGCTCAACACACAGAGTCAGTTACTTTTAAGATTTTCTTGGGCCGGCTGGGTGGCGCAGTTGGTTACAGCGCGAGCTCTGAGCAACAGGTTCACTGGTTCAATTCCCACATGTGCCACTGAGCTGCACCCGATGGGCCACTGAGCTGCGCCCGAGCTGAGCTGCCAACAAGCAGAGACTGGACTTGGAGCTGAGCTGTGCCCTCCACAACTAAGATTGAAGGACAACAACTTGACTTGGAGCTGATGGGTCCTGGAAAAACATAATGTTCCCTTCCCCAATTCCCCAAAACAATCTTTAAAAAAAAATAAAAAAAATTTTTTTCTTGGTATCATTGGTTTTCAGCAATTTGAGGATAAGTGACTTGGTGTGATTTCCTTTGTTTATTCTGGGTGGCTTCTGTTGAGCTTCTGGGAAATGAGTTTATAATTTTCATCAAATTTATAAATTTTCAACCATTACTGCTTCAAATATTTTTTTTCTCTCCTCCGGTTCTCCTAATTTCCCTGTCTTCTGGGCCATCGCTTACTTTTTCCTTGTTCATTTATTTTTAGTGTTTTTTTCTCTCTTGTGCTTCAGGGTTTTTTTGTTGTTGTTTTTTAAGACTAGTCAAGTGCAGTAGTGAGAAGGGGGGAAAGAGTAGAACGAAGAGTTCAATCTGTAACTGACTGTGAACAATCAATTGAGATAACTCACTACCTTCGGACCAGCCTGCTTCAGTTTTTATAGTTTCTGTTGCTATGTCTTCAAGGACATTCCAGTACACTCATTTGTTTTTCTCCTTCAGTATCTAATACTTTGTTAACCTTGTCCAATGAATTTATTTCAGATATTGTATTTTTAATCTCCAGAAATTGTTTCATTTTTATGTTTTCCACTCTCTCATTATGTTCTTAATTTTCATTAAATCCTTCAGCATATTTGTAATAGGAGTTTCAAAATCCTTGTCTAGGCCTTTTGAGCTTCTTTTGCTCTGCCCACTCCAAACTCTTTGGAGTGTACTTTCTCTTCTAATAATGGCCCTTGAGCCACTCCCTACTGTTCGGGCCCGCTTCTACTTCTTTGAAATGTACTTTTTCTTCTAATAAACTTTTTCACCACTTAAAAAATAAAATCCTTGTCTCTTATTTTATCATCTCTGTCATTCTGGGTCTGTTTTTGACTGTTTTTCTCCTGGTCACATTTACCTGCTTCTTTACTTGTCTAGCATTTTTTTATTGAATGCTTGGTATTGTGAAATTTACATTGTTGTGAATGCTGGATTTTGTTGTCTTCCTTTAAAATACCTTGAACTTTATTCTGGCATGTTTTTTTGTAAATCAGTTTGATCCTTTTAAGATTCCTTTGAAACATTTATAAGTAGTTTCTATCTAGGGCTAGTTTTATCCCTATGCTCAGGCATTCCCCTCTGGAGTTCAAGTTCAATGATCCAGGTGTTTCAACAAGTTCAACAGGAACTCCCCATGTTAGCTGGTCAAAACTCAAACATTTCCCAGCCCTCTGTTAGCTTTGAGAATTATTCAGTTTACAGCTACTCATTACTTTTTTGCCTGGGTACAAGGAGTTTCACCCTATTCATTTGCAGCTTAGTATTCAGCAACAGACTTAAGCATCTTCTAAGCAGAACTCTGGAACTGTTTCTCTGTTTAATTTCCTCTTCTCTGTGATAAAACAAGTATAGTAACATTTTACTAATCGTTCACTAAAATCTAAGTAATGAATTTGGGTGTTTACTGTATGTAAAATTTCAACTTTGCTGTATGTTTGAAAATTTAATAAGATGTTTGGAAATAATCAGATTACGTGCAACAAATACAATGCCACCATTAGTAAAGGCATTTGTGAGATTATACATCACCATGAAATGGGTTCTAAGTCAGAACTGGCTGGGAAATGCTGGCCAATCCTTCTAGCTAGGACAATAGGTTGAAAGAGCTTCTAGGTTCAAGTTGCCCTTTGTCCCATTTTTGCAAACATAATGGAGATTCTCAGACGCTCCATTGCCATACATTCTTCTATGACATGTTCCTCAGTTTTGCTGGTTATACTGAATATCAGCCTGCTGATTACTTCTGAAGCACAATGCATTCATTTTTGGCATGGCTCACTTTCTGTCTGTATATAACTATTTGTATATAACTTTCTCATGTGCAATCAGAGGTTGCAAACTAGTGAGCCAAAGCCAGCCCACAGATGTGTTTTATTTGACCTAATGCTTTCAAAAAGTTACTTGTACACATTTAAAAATTGGGCAATTTCATATAAAACTTGGATTTCCGGCTCTTTAGCAAGTGACCTGGCAACACCAGATGCACATCCCCACATAGCAAGAACTGACTGCAGTACACAAGCACTTTCCAATGCCTGCAAGACCTGCTTCCCTCAGTTACCACTCAAGTGGTTGAGTTGGCAGCTGCTAGATCTCTGCTGTCTACTTTAACCACTAGCCACACATGGCTATTTGAACATAAATTAATTCAAATTTTATTTAATTATAATCAGATAAAGCTTAAAACTCAGTACCTCAGTCACATTAGCTACATTTAAAGTGCTTGAAAGCCACATATGGTTAGTAGCTAGTATATTGGACAACACACAATAGAACTTGGCCATCATTGAGAATGTTGCACTGGACAGTGCTGACCTAGCCTGTCTCTCCGGTTGGAACAGGGAACATTTTCCCTATTTGAGCAACATACATTAATGGCAGTACTGTGGAGCCTCATCACTGTTTACTGTTTTTATGAGAAAATGACAAATTCTAGCACTAGACATGGGGTTGTGGATGACTCACAGCACTAGCTGTTAAACTGTAAGTCTGAAGTCAGTCTCTGTTCTACACATTTGGGACTTCAACTGGAGTCCTTTTATTTTTAATAATTTCAAACTTTAACATTGATATATCACTGCCATCAACTATTTAGATTCAAGTTTACTAACTGTCCCAATAATGTCCTTAATAACAAAAGGATCCAGTTTAGAACTGCATGTTGCATTCAGTTGTTTTTTTAGACTCCTTCTGTCTATAACAGTTCTTCAGTCTCTCCTTGACTTTCACAACCTTGACACGATTATTTTATACAATGTCTAATTTTACAGAATGTTCCTCAATTTATCTGGTGATTATTTTTTGCTGGACTTAAGTGATGCTTTTTTTTCTCATTGCTGCCTATAGATGGTAGTCATTTGTTCCGTTATTAGTGATGTCAGCATTCATCTAAGCTACTGCCTGCCAAGCTTCTCCAGTGCACTTTCTCCTTTTGTAATTAATATGTATCCCCTTCCTCACCAAACTTTGTTGATTCATTTATTTAGTATGGATTCATGGATTCCTATTTTATTCAATGGGTTATAATCTAATATTGTCATATTTTTGATGTTCAAATTGTCCCAGATTTGACTAGCAGTTTTATATACTTTTGATATGTCCCTATCATTGAGTACCTCCTTCTTTCTGGAACAAAATGTTCCAGACTTACCTTGTATTTTCCCTGCCCAGCCCCGGAATTACCCATTTCTCCAAGGAGCCCTGGTTCCTTATTAGAAAATGAAGCTCTCTTTGTGGGCTGAGCTAGGGAATATATGTAGTCCCTACATATACACACTGGTATCTGTATTTACTTACATTGAAATCCATATTTATTCATACCAGGGCAGGGTTAATTCTGGGTTTTTCCTTTTCCATATTTGTAACTCCATTCTCTGCTAACTCCCATTATAACCAATCTCTCATTGCCAGTACCACCTACCCAGGTGCCCTTTTTTCACCTTGCTGAGACCCCAGTACCTCTCCCTTCACAAACCTACACCCTCCCTTACTACCCCCCCTTTTTTCCCCTTACTCCCCCTTTTTATTTTAAAGGTTTTATTGGGGAATTGGGGGGAGGGGAACAGACAAGTTTCTGTCCTTTTGGTCTTCAGTCTAGTTGTGGAGGACATTGCTTCACTGGCCCATGTTGGTATTATCATTGCGCTCTTCCCGGGTAAGGCGGCCATTGGACGGACGCACACAGCGGTTCACAGCAGCTCATGAAAGCTCATTCCAGCTGCTGGCCAGCCCCACTGCAGCCTATGCTGTCACTGGTGACTCACGGCAGCCTAGTTCCAGATTGAGCTGTTGTTCACCATCTTAGCTGTAGAGGGCGCAGCATCACTCAGTAGCCCTATGTGGAATCCGAACCGGGGTCCTGCTGCTCAGAGCTGGCATCCTAAGCCAACTCCTAACCAACATGCCACTCGGCTGGCCCCTTTACTCCCCCTTTTTAAAAAAACATCTTTTTAAACATACCTTGTTGGACATTGAGACCAAAAACTGTCAAAAGACACTTTTGGATAAGAAAAGCTTTCATATAAACTGAGTACTTAATAATAATATTAAGCAATTGTTAATTTTAAGTGTGATAATGGCATCAAGGGAAATAAAAAAATTAAAAAGTCCCTACCATTAAAGAAATACTTACCAGGTGATGGGTAGAGGGGTTGATAATTATTCTAATGTTTAAAATTTTCAAATTAAAAATAAAGGATAGGGCCGGCCGAGTGGCTCGTTGGTTAAGAGATGGCTTGGGAGCATGAGCTCTGAGCAGCAGGGCTGCCGGTTTGGATCCCACATGGGCCAGTGACACTGCATCTTCTACAGCTAAGATGGTGATCAATGGCTGACCTGGAGCTGGGCTGCCGTGAGGCGATGGCGTAGGCTGCAGTGGGGCTGCAGTAGGCTACCGTAAACTACCATGAGTGGCTGGCAGTCAGTGTGAGCTGCCGTGAGCCACCATCCAGTGGCCAGCAACCCATCTGCCTCAGCCGGGAAGAGCACAATAATTACAATACCAACATGGGCCAGTGAAGCAACGTCCTCCACAACTAGAGACTGAAGAACAAAAGGATAGCTACTTGTCTGTTCCCCTTACCCAATTCCTCAATGCTGTTCCCTCCCCCAATTCCCCAATAAAAATCTAAAAATAAAATAAAATAAAATAAAGGATAGCAGGCAGGTCTGGAGATCACTGGGTCTTTATTAAGATGGAATCACTGCTAATTACATAGAAGCTACTTGCCTCAGCCAAAATTCATTAGGTTCACATGAACTGACAGTTATACAAGTAAGAAACAAATGGCATGTTTCAAAACCATGAGGAAATACCCTGATGCCCAGGTGACGGCTGGGGTGAATGAGTCTGCACCTTTATTTCAAGCTGTTAAAGAGTTTGTGGGCCACCTAGATGGGGAAAAGAAAAGAAGTCATTAATTGGCAGCTTTCATGTCATGACTTACAAGGTCCTTCATGACCTGGAATAGTACTGCCCCTTCTCTCACCCCTCTTCTTCTCACACACCCACCACACTCTTGAGCCATAGTGAACTCCCTTCAGTTACCCAAAAATCTCCCTTCTACCTTGAACTCTTTCCCACTTTTTCATCTTTTCCTTTATAACTTAACGTCATTTCGGACAAGTCTTCTCTAAAAATACCCTATCCCCACACAAATCTGTCTTCTCCACAGAAACGTGTACTTCCCTTATCACAGTGATTAATAATTCAATAAATATTTATATATCTACTATATGCCAGGTACTGTTCTAGGTGCTGAATGAGTTACAACAGTAAACAAGACAATATCTGTCTCTTATGGAACTCAGAGAATAAGAGAAATACAATATACATATAAGGTAATTTCTGATAGTGATACTGTGAAGAAAATAAAATGGCGAGGTGGGGAGCCACTTTAAAAAAGGGGATCCGTGAAGGCCATCCTAAGGTTACACCCAGAGATTTACCAGCTTACTAACTGTTCTACTTCTGTCTCCTACGCTGGCTTATAACTCAGTGAAGGAAGGGACCATGCCATGCTCACTCCCAGGTCTTAACCTGTGCTTTGCTTGTAAAAATAGTTAATAACACAAAACTTACCCTTTAACCATTTTTAACTATACATTTCTGCGTCATTAAGTATATTCCCACTGTCCCGCAATGGTTAATCTCCAGAATTTTTTCACCTTCCTAAACTGAAACTCTGTACCCATTAAATAATTCCCCATGTCCCCCTCCCCTCAGCCCTTGGCAACCACCATTCTGTCTGTCTCTATGAACTTGACTACTGAAGGTATCTCATATAAGTGGAGTATTTGCCCTTTTGTGATTGGTTTATTTCACTTAGTATATCTTCAAGGTTCATCCATGTTGTAGCATTTGTCAGTTTCCTTTTAAAGGCAGAATAATGTCTCATTGTATGCACACACATTTTGTTTATCCATCCATCCATTAATGGACACTTGGATTGCACCCACCTTTTGGCTATTGTGAATGCTGCTATGAATATGCACGCACAAATATCTTTTCAAGTCCTTGAACTGAAACTTGGTTCTTTTGGGTAATACCCTTAAGTGGAATTGCTGGATCAATATGGTAATTCTGTTTAGAATTTTGAGTAAAGTGCTTGATTTCCTTTTATTGTCAAATAATATTCCATTATATGGATATCACATTTTATTTATTATCAGTTGATGTTATTTCTACTTTTTGGCCATTATGAATAATGCTTCTGTGAAGTTTGTATACAAGTTTTTATATAGATTCATGTTTTCATTTCTCTTAGGTATATGCCTAGGAGTAGAATTGCTGGGTCATAGAGTAACTCTGTTTAATCTTAGAAGAACTGCCAGTATATTTTCTACAGGGCTGTACCAATTTATTGGGTTGTCAGAAAAGTCATGATGCATTTTTGCAACAAAAAACAAAAAATACGTCATGACTTTTCCGACAACACAATACATTCCCATCAGTAGTGTATGAGGTTTTTCATTTCTCCACAAAGGCCAACACTTGTTACCTATCTTTCTGATGGGAGCCAATCTAGTGGATATGAAGTCATATCTCATTATAGTTTGATTGGCATTTCTCTGATAGCTAATGGTATTGAACTTCTTTTCATATGCTTATTAGCCACCCAATCAGTTCTAACATAATCAACCATATCAAACTTCGCCTGCCCTATAATTTAAAACATCTTACTGATGTTAAAGTCAAACAAAAGTTTACTTTAAAAAAAAATTTGGGGGGCCGGCCGAGTGGCGCGATGGTTAAGAACTCGCTTGGGATGCCAGAGGGCCCCGGTTCGGATCCCACATATGAGG